GCTGCGGCATCGGTGTTATGGCATTCACGGAGATATATTTAAAAATTCTAATACCAGCACATTAGAGGTTTGTCATACTGTCAAACAGGGTCAGTTAATTACCATTAGGGCGACATAAACCTCATTTCAACTTTTACGACTTGTATTATATGTTGACGACGTCTGTAGTACACCTTGCACACGTTTCAAATAGACTTTTCTGTATTGTCTCGGTTCTGAATACCTAAGATTTCCCTAATACAAGTTCGATCTTTGCTATCACTTTAATATTTTTTTATTAACTAGCTGTTTTTCAGTTACTTTGAGCTGTTTTGATACAAAAAAAAAACAAGTTTTTCTTCTATATTCATATTAACAAGGAAAAAATGTATCAAAGCATTTTTAAACTAAACAAACACTTTTGTACGGAAAAATGTGACGCCTCTAATCTCCATCCACCTGATGTAGCGGAGTTCAAACGGAAAAGGGAAAATCCCTGAAGAATTTCAACATTTAAAATTATAACACAAGTGTTTCAAACAAAGTATTATTTTATGAACGAGGTAGTTTAAGTACGCAGTTATTTCGGGCACAGTGAGCATGGTTCACTGTGAAACGGCGGAAATATACAAAGCTAATGTAATTAGAGCTTGTTTGTGTAGTTTTAAGTGATTAACAAGCGGAGAACTTAGAATTATAATTATAACATACTACATTAATGTTTACGAAGCTTTCAAAATCGTAATATGAAATTTTAATAAAAACTTAATATTTTTTATTGTGACTGTGTCCTCGTTTTGCTGATTATAAATAAATTTGTATTTTATTTCTCTTATCTATTGTGGGTCATATATATTATTTTGTATAACTACCGCATAGTTAGATCGAAAAGAATGGGCTACATAATCTATGGTTTACTCAAATTCGGTGGCGTTGAGTAGCTCGGTGGCGTAGTGTATAGACGCCGCGGCCGGCGATCGTTGTTGTTAAGCAACTTTCACAAGGGTCATTCACGGGAGGGAGACCAAAAATTCAATATCTCGAGCTACTCCTTGCTTCGGAAGGCACGTTAAGTTGTTGTTCCCGCCTGCATTTATAGTCGTTAATATCCTCCAATCCGCATTGGGCTAGCGTGAAGGGTCATGGCTCATCGTCCTTAACCATCCTTAAAGAAGGCCTGAGCCCCTCTAGTAGGGACGTAAAATGGCTAATGATGATACTCAAATGTATTCCGACACACAAATCCAAATATTTTGTATTATCAGTAGATAATGCCGAGTATTCTTTCAGTTCACTCTTTTAAGTTTAAACTTGAGAAATTTCATATTTTCTTACGCATTCAACAAAAATAATGTTTTTTTTTTTAATTCTACAGATTTTTTTCACGACTTTCCTACCTTTATACTTATGAACTTTTCTTAAATATACATCATTGGCTTGAATTAATATGAACAAAGCGTTTCTAGTATCATGATCCACTAATTCATATTTGATAAGTTTTCACCCTAAACTAACAACTCTAGAATCATAAGTGCAGATTATTATATTTAGTGAGTACTAAAGGAATGAATTAGGTTAATTCATAATTCATGATCCGACCTAAGTTAAAATTTAAATTTATGCTGCTCCTAGAGAATTCCTAGAAACAGATTAAATAATTTGTAATAACTCCGTTGGTCCTGAAGTAATTTTCGACGATCAACTTCAGTCGATTAGTTTGTTAAGACTCGTCTGAATTTATTGAACAAAATATTTACCCCATGTTTTGGTAATAATCATACTGTTGTTATTAATTTTCTTTATAACAGATGCTAATGTAATCTTTATTATCACTAGATAGTATAAAACAAAGTCGCTTTCTCTGTCCCTATATCCGTAAGTATGCTTAAATCTTTAAAACTACGAAACGGATTTTGATGCGGTTTGTTTTTGAATAGATAGGGTGATTCAAAAGGAAGGTTTTTATGTATAATACAAGACCACGCGGGCAATGCCGCCGGCGGAAAGCTAGTTAATATTATAAAGTGGAAAGATTTGTTTGTTTGTCTGCATTAAATGGGCTCCGAAACTTCTGGATCGATTTTAAAAATTCTTTCACCAACTTCACTTACTGGAAGCTACATTATACGCTAGTGATATAGACTAAAATCAAAGCGTTTGAAGTCGCGGGAAAATAGCTAGTTTTACATATACACAATGATCATATTAATTTGTATTTTTTATATAGCACGGCGTGTGTCCGTCCACCAAGAAACCGTCATCTCTTAGGTCCCAGGATCGTGTCTCAGTCGGGTTAATGAAGAAACTTATTATTACACATTTAAAAATCCACCCGTTGAAACTTTAATAGATTGTTTTATATCAGGTGTATAAAACAAACGTGTGTTTAAAATATACAAATACAAACGCCTTAACATTAACGAATAAGGTTCTGGTGCATAATTTGTTGATTTATCACGATCAAATAACAACAAATAAATATAAGCGGACGCGAGCTCAAGTCGAGAGTCATCTCGCGTCTATTACAGTGAGAACGCGCCAATGAAATAGGGAATCGGCAACAAAAACAATCTGCCTATTTGTTTTCAAACAAACGAACATCGAGCGAGCTGAGCGGAACCGTTGTAAAATAGATTTTATTCGTACCACCATAAGGTGGCGGAACATCATCACATACGTTGTCGTTATACGTACATTCCTCTGTTTCTCTCTGGCGCGATACAATCTGTGATTTATCGTTCCAAAAGATAAATAAATTGTCTTCCAGTAGCTTCAATAGTGAGTCGAGTTGATTTCGTTTCTACGGCAGGGAGCGCCATGAAATAAACATTGTATTTCAGGTAAGTTTGGTGAAATATTGGATTCTATAGAACTTCCCTTGAATTGGCTGAGCAGTTTATATTCCTGGATAAATAAATGGATACACAAACCTCGTTCAAATACTTATGTTCCAATATAAAGTGTTAAAATCGAAATTGTTCTTAATGAGTAAATAACGTAAAATAAAATTCAATGGATCACATCTAATTATTAAAATGTCAAATAATCGCAAATGGGACAACAATTGGCTGAAAAAATCGGTGAACATACATAAAAAAACAACATCGCCGTCGAACATATAACCCCCTTTTGATTTTGATGTCCGTTAAAAAATATAAAATATCAGAAATTATTTACCATTTAGATTGTTTTAAATTTTCATATTGTTATTCAATTATAACTTGTAACGTAAGTATTTTTTCTTTTACAAGTATTGCTTATAGCTACAAAGTGTCATATACATTATTTAATTAATATTATCATCATCATCATCAGCCATAAGACGCCTATTGCTGAGGATAGGCCTTCCCCATAGATTTCCACGACGATTGGTCCTGCGCAGCCGGCATCCAGTGGCTTCCCGCAACCTTTATAAGATCGTCAATTAACCTGGCCTAACCACTGAACGTCGTCCGGTACGTGGTCGGCATTCCAAAATGCTTCTGCCCCAATCTGCTACAGTTCTTCTCGCTGTATCCCGCTCACTACCACTTCAGCTGAGCAATTCTTTGAGCAATGTCAGTAACGTTAGTTCTCCTACGGATCTCCTGATTCCGATTCGATCAATTAGAGAGATACCAAACATTGCTTTCTCCATTACTCGCTGGGTGACCTTGAGCCTTCTTATGAGGCCCATAGTGAACGACCACGTTTCGCTTTCATAAGTCATCACTGGCAACACACACTGATTGAAGACTTTGGTCTTGAGACACTGTAATTTGGACGCGAAGATTTTTTGTAGCTTCCCGAACGCCGCCCCTCTGAGCTGAATTCGACGAGAGATCTCTTTCTCGAAGTTGGACTTGGTTAGCTGGACTGTCTGTCCTAGTCGACATTTCTAAGAGTACTATTCCCAATTGTAACTGAAGTGGGTACAACATGGATGTTTGACATGATTTTCGTCTTATCCATGTTCATATTAAGACCTTTTAAGACCTATGGGATGCACTACTGAGATCTACAAGCATATTGTTCAGGTCTTCCAAGGTCTCGGCCATTAGGACTACATCATGCTACTACAATATTTTGCAGGTATAAAATAAAGATTCAGTTAAATAAATACGTTATTCAAAACCTAGTGAAAAAAAACGGATTGTTTATATTATTAAATTAATCTAATATGCAGTATTTTGAATTATTAATCTTTAAATAACATCGATGATTCATAAAAAAGTTGTTTTTCCGCTATTTTGCCCGCTTAAATTATTGCCTATGTCAGCCACATGTGATGTAACTTACCGTAGACGAAAGAGTTTTCATAATCGGTTCAGTTTTTCCGAAGATTACCCCTACAAAAAATAAAATTAGAAACTTTATCTCTTTATAATATTAGTAAAGGTGAATATAACATTATATTTTTGATTTTTGTCGTCACATTATTAAAATAAAATAAAAAAATTCTAAACAACATATATTTGTTAAGAAATTACTGTGAATCTTAATTCTCTACTGAATAAATAAGGCAATTCCCTATTTAACCCTCCATATCAATCTCTTTTAAATTAATGACGGTGTAGTATAGACATAGAGTTATTACGCAAATTAACCCTATGTAGATAGCGCTAGTAGGTACCGGTATTAGTGACCGCAAACCTCCGCATCTAACCCAAACCGGTCATTTAGACCGCAATTTAATCAAGTAGTGCTAAACTTTTGTTGTATTATAATTTTATGTATTTAAAAAAAAATTCTTACATTTACATATACAATCAGAATGTATACTTCTTGGGGTCAATCAACCAATTAATATTTCCTGTACCTAACTCTACATGATAAGTGAAACAATCAAGTTGTGAGCGGGTCAACGTCTGAAGTAAGTTATTACACCGACAAGACCTTTGTATTTGCGGTGCAGGTAAAATAAACCTCGACAATTGACCATCAAATTAAGTTCTTTCAGTTTAAACTGAATAAACTTCGAGTATATTTACGAGTTATATTATATGAGTTAATAATAAAAAAACATTTTGTTTCACAGCGAAATGGCCGATAAGAAATTCGCAGTAGTCTTGCTTGTTTTATTTCAACCTTGTAACAGTGAGGAGGTATGTAATTATTTTATAATATAATTTATTTATCAACAATATAATAATTCTAAAACATCATGTGTTCAAAAATTAGCCTGAGCTAGGATAACTGCCGGTTTCTGAATTGAGAAAAGTATAAGATCTTGACTGATTACTATTATTATTCTTCTCAATAACTTAAGTTTTTTACGTTTCACGTGGCAAAAAATCGTATTTTTATTAATGTGATGTCAATTGAAGTTAAAATTGGAAAAGAAAAGTTGTTTCAGTAACTTTTAAGAGGGTTTAAGTACGGTTTGAGACGTGCCAAACTTTAAATTCTCAATTCAAAAACTGGGTATTAGAAATGTATCTTTTTATATGATAGAATATCCGCTGTGACTGCTAAGCTTAAGAAATTTAGCCGCCTGTACGAATTTGATTAAATATATAACCTGTAGTAAATTAGTTCGGTCAATAATACTCAAATTAACTTAAAAATAAAAGAGAAAACAAGCTGAAATAATGCATAGACACCATGTTTCAAAAACGTTCATTAAAAAGACATTAGTTTAAAACGACATTATTCATACAAATTTGACATTCATTACAGCTTAAAGGCGTCATTAAACCTTAATGGACGTTTATGCAACCAAGAAAGGGACAAAGGGTTACATATTGCGCTACATTTTTAATTAATAACTCGCAATCCATCACGATCATTGTAAAAGTTCTCAATCCTAACCATTAGTTGCAAAATAATAATACCGCCTTAAATTAAACAGTATAATTACAAGACGTGTTACGGGTTCGGTGCTTCGTCAATTAAATAGGCTGATCAGCTTGAGTATAATTTATTAATGAAATAAGGGTAATAATAAAAAACTGTAACAAACAAAAATAAATTTAAAAAACAGTTCGTAAGTTACTTAAACTAATACATTCTTATCAAATAAACGAATACATACCCCTTGTCGGGCTTCTTGTTACACTTTTGGATCGTACAAAATACAGTTTTAATTTAGTAAATATGTTATATTATTGTATCACCATAATATATGAATTATTAAAATTACATAGTAAAATTTATACCAATAATATTGTATTATATTATAATTTCATCTTGTGTATAGGAGAATTTCTTACGAACTGACATCCATAAAGAGTAAAATTGATTAGTCAAAATTTTAAATTACGAAAGACGAATAGTAAAATGAAATAATGTTGAATTTCAAAAGCAAAAAGTTTGCATACTGAAACCTAGGAAAACAAACGGTGGCATGGCACACCGTTACAGACGCATTTAAAAAATTATAAATTATAAAAGAAACTTCAATTTTTGCAAAACTAAGACAAACTCCAGCATCTGGTTTAAATCATTATCTAACCAAAATAAGTCACGCCTTATTATGACGATTTATCTTCTGCTATTGTCAACTTACTTAAGGTGGTTTTGAACCAAGTACTAACTTTGGTCCCCATTTCAAATGATACGGAATACTAAAAGAAACTCGCTATGATATAAAGTGTGTATATCTTCACGTCGCATCCCTGGCTGAACTCATGTTTTTAATTAATTATCACTTTTAAGGTGGCCTGTGATGGTATTATATTCCACGAGGTGTACTATGATAGAGAAATACTATTCAGAGACCTCGGAAGGCCTTATAACTTGATCATGCACAAGTTCTCTGGGTTACTGTTCTTCAGTCATACGGTAATTATGAAATTATTTATTGTAATGAAAATGCTGAAATGACGAATTATCTGAACTTTTTAATTTTGCTCTTTAATAATAAAAACACAATCCCGAGACAATTAAGCATTATGTACATAAAATTAATGAAATAATGAGTGTAAATTCGATATCCGTTTATCGAAAAAAAAAGTTTATTGCCTTATAAATAGAAGGAAAACCTTGTTTCATCAATAAAGGTAATTAAATACAGCTCACTTCAAATGAAAACATAATAATTGTTGATGGCCTTTACATCAAACGTTACTTTAATTAATAAAATGCTAATTAAAATATACATAAAAACACACTCACGCGCCCTTTTTGTTATCGCCAATTTACTGAGTGTTTTGAGAAATGTAATTATAATTATAATTAAAGTAGGTAGAATCGGTACATTAGGGACTCAATTTTAGTAAACTTCATTGAAGTAATATTTCATGTATGGATTCAAAAATTGATTTCGGCGACTTTTGTTGTTGACTAGGTGTATCGGTTTCACGTCTGATTCGGGTATCGGTTTAATTGTTTGAGATTTTTTGATAATTATTGTTTTAATTATAGTATAGGTGAAATATAGCATTAATTCATTTCATCATGTTGTCCACCTAACTAGAATATGTTTGATTTGTATCGGGTTTGAATGCTTGCAGAATATCTATTCCCAATTGATTCAAAGAAATCAAACTTAAACTTCTCTGAACTAAAGGTAAACATCAATATTATTACATTTCAGGTGCAGAACGTGACACATGTCGATTTCACTATAACAACCTGTCACGTAGACAAGAAAGAGTGTCACGACGTAAGAGGCATCCCTGGTGGCTACGCAATCGCTTACGATCCTGGCAACGACGACATCTACTTGGGCGGTCATGATGGTATATACAAATACAACTTCCTAACTCAGTCTGCCGAATTCTTCGCCGAAGAAGGGAAGAGCATATGGGGTATATTCGTCAAGAGAAACTTTTACTACATCCAGTACCCGAACCAAAAACTTCACGTATACCAAGACGACAATTTTGTGCCCGTTTTTGAAGCTAGAAACATTGAAATAGATCACTTTTTTATATCTAAACATATGGACATATATTTTTCTAATCGCACTGCTTTATATAAAGTTGAAAGACCTAAGAAAGAGGCTATTCTTCTTAACGATGACACGGTTATAAGACAGATAGTTGAAGATGGTTATGGAGATATATACTTTTGTGCTAGTGACGGTATTTATATAGAAGACAAACCGTATACTAGAACCAAACAAGTAGCACAAATAAATCAGGCTTTTGGATTAACATTTGATGAACATGATAATATAATTTATTCTGATCAAGATTCTATATACAGATTACTTCCTAGTAAATCTAGTAACCTGTGCTATCAAGCAATTAAAGCAATGGCTGCTCGGGATCCTGAGGCGAAATCAGTGCCGAGGGAACATATCATTAGCTGATAAATATTCTTCCTAGTTTGTTGTAAATCAAATAATGATTTAAAAATGTTTTCATTAAATGTATGTTTATTTTTATATTAAACCATGAAAATATTTTTATATACTTTGTATCGTGAAATAAGATAGTGCCTGTTCATGAAAGTTCACTGTTTTTGATATCCTGAGTGATAATAAAAAACAACTATACGATACAAATGAATGCCACTCCTATGTTATTTCTGGTCAGTCAGCTATGCTTCAGAATTCAGTAATAGAAAATTATCATATCATCTCCTTGATTTTGAATAGACGAGCTTTCGTAAAAAGAGGGCGTTTTGGTTGGTAGTTGTCTAGAAAGTTTTGATTTCTAGATAGCTAAAATTTGAAACTGTCTTCAATTAGTAAATCACCATACCTTTTGTTTGTTTCTTTTTCATTATGTTTTGCTAGTATGTCATTTGTATAATGATAATAACTGTATGAGTTCATTGTGTTGTAAATTGTTTAAGTAAACAACCATTCTACGGTTAGAAATCATCAGTAGAAACAATTACTCATTGTTAATGTGGCCATTGGATTTGGAACTTCTCTTAAATTATTTTAGTAATTTAATTTGACCATTACATTTTCGTGAAGTTTAACTATAAGATAGTTTAAATTGTAAATCAGCGAATAATATCAGCAAATGGTTTTTAATATAGGATTCATAATGCTTACGTTAACGATAGCGGCAAAATCTCTGCCACACAAAACGTGTAACAGATTAAAAATTAACGAGCAATGGTATGATAGAGAAATAATAATATCCAACATGGGAAGACCTTACAGCTTGCAAGTTCATAAATCAACGAACACGCTGTTTTTCAGTTATTCTGAACCTGATACGTATACAGATACAGATTTCCAACTTTTTGACATAAACTTGGCCACAAAAGAACAACACATCATAGCTGGAATAAGAGGAGGATGTGCAGTAGCAATAGATCAAGCGAATGATGATATCTATTTGGGCGGTAGTGATGGCATTTACAAATACAATATGCTCACAAAGTTAGCTGATTACTACAAAGAAAAAGGGAAGAACATTTGGTCTTTGTACTATAATCGCAATTTATTCTACGTCAGCTATCCGGAACAGAAACTGCACATAGAGATAGATGGAAAGTTTATGGCAGTGAAAGAGTTTGGAAATTTCGAAGTGGATCTATTTCACGTTACCGGTAACAATGAAATTTATGTGTTTGCAAACAGAACTGGCCTTTATACTTATGATAGCAATACGTTCACTGTCCACATACTCAGCGAATTTCTTTCCGTTAGACAAATCACTGAAGATAATGAAGGAACGATATACATTTGTACCAACATCGGCATTTTCACTTATATCTACAAAAGCAGGGATTTGATACAAATTGTCGATTTGAAAAATGTGTACGGTTTAGCGTTTGACAAAGATAATCAGTTTGTGTTCTCTGACGAGAAAAATGTCGTGTTACTTAAACATAGTGAATATGGCTGTATAACTAATGATAATAATTGGTGAGTTTATTGATTAATGCAAGATTTGTTCTAAGCTTTAATTATAATGTTTAAAAAAAAGTTGTGGTTTTTATTTCTTAATTGTCTAAATTAAATTTGTAAATAATGTCATATATTTTTCACCAAATTACATAATATAAGATCATAAATAATTATTATTGCAGATTATCCGAAGGTTGTTTTTTCCATGAAACGTTGGATTCCGCAATAAAATATATTTCAATTTAAACGAATCATATTTTAAAACGGCCTCGAGCAAAGTGGATGCTTCGTTTTAAATTTTAAATCCCCATGACATGCATGTCCTGCATAGGTAATTGAACAATAAATTAACGAAATTGCTTGTTTCAATTTTCGTTCACATGTTTCTCATAATGTTTTAAATAAAATGTTTGAAAATTATTAAATAGAACGAGATTCTATGATATAGGTATCGTAAAATTTTGTAACTAACTGTACTAATATGATAATAAACCTGAGGTGTATATCAGGAATTACTAACCTACATATAAAATAAATATAATGTAAACATCAAGATATTACTTAGATTCCAAGATGTCTAGTTAATACTCTCATATTAAGGAGTATCTGAGTAAAAGAAGGTACCACAATACCCAGACCCAAGGCAATATAGAAAAGTTCATTTTCTACATTGACCCGACCGAGTGCCTTAAAGCTAACGACGCCTTGAAACCGACGTGCAAACCATTCGGATACTGAAATCGACAAACGTGTTAGTGGCGAAATATTATATTATTTTGTTTAATTAGCCAAAAAGATAATTTCTCAAATACTTATGGCATTTTACGTTGGTATTTTGCAAAACCCTCCAATCCGCATTGGGCCAGTGTGGACCATCCTCTTTAAGCATTCATAAGGAAGACTTAAACCCCTACAGTGGGGATGTAAAACCGCTAATGATGATGTTTTGTTACAAAAGTAGTATGGAGAGTTCATAGTTTTGTATGAAGACTTCAACCTTAACTTGTTATGTTATTGATACACTTTTCGTATCTAAATATCATTGTAAACAAAATTCAGTTTTTATAAGTGAACAAGCAGCAGCTCATATGCTATATATAAATAATATATTCAAATAGAAATGGAAAGGCTTTTTGTAACTTCATTCATCCATATAATATGCAAAATGGTCTAACAGCTTACTAGTCTTGTATTGTCTTTTTTTTTTAAAAAGTCACGTGCCAATAACTTTTTATTTAGTTTTTTTTTATAGCCGTACAATATGTTAAAATAGAAAAGCTCGATTGAAACTTGAAAAATATACGAGACACATGGGTTCCTACGAATCGAATTAACAGTTGTGTGAAGAGTCGGTACCGCAATAAATTTATAGCTCAGTAACTCTTTTGTACATTTACTTCATACTCGGATCGGACTTCAATTGAAAATTTATACTATTTGCATAAGTAATAATGATATATTCACATATTAGAATACATAAATATATAAATGATAACTATATTATACTATAAATATTGAATAACATCGCATACGTTGCCCTTAATCAAAATTATGCTATTTCAATTAGTATCAAACAACTAAGGTAAAGATAATATTGTAAGAATATTTTTTCTTTTTCTCTGTTGAAATTCACACAAATAACCGGAAATAGTTTACATTGACAGAATTCATAATCACACCCATCTTATTAATATTTAAATAACACTAGATTAGTAAGTCATTAAGAGCCACAGTTATATAAAAGTCGAGCTATAATAACCGAATCCACCTTTGAAATGGAAGTATTACGGACGATGAAACGAGTTTTATAATAAATAAATAAAAAAATAAAAAGCCTTTTATTTCTTGCAAGTAGGTATCTAAGTTACATATTTTAAATGTAAGAATAAAGTAAAAATAAAGAGTGTAATCAAAACTTATACTAGGTTTTACAATTTCTTATGTATTGCATTTGCAAGAACCCCTCCTCAGATGAAGGTGAAGGCCTCTTCTAAAGAATTCCACTTTTCTCTATCTTGTGTTATTTGCGTCCAGCAGGGGACAGCTACTTTAGTTATTTCGTCTGTCCATCTCATTAAAGGTCTGTCTCTGAGACGCTTGCCGTGTGGACCTTTCCATTTGGTTACCCTGCTAGTCCACCTCTCATCCGTCAGCCTCGCTACGTGGCCTGCCCACTTCCATTTTAGCTTTTTAGCGTGTATTAAAGCATCTTTGGCCTTAGTGATATTTCTAACTTTAGTGTGGCGAATTTTTTTAATATTCAGCATGCTTCGTTCTATTCCGCGTTGGCAGGTAGTTATTTTGTTTTTTATATTCGATGTATACTTCCAAGTTTGACATGCGTAGGTTAGGCTTGGTAGGAGGCATGAAGACCAGACTTTTGTTTTAATATTAGTTGGCTTGTTACTTTTAAATATTTCTCTTAAGGACCAGTACTTATTCCAAGTATTTTGTGCTCTTCGTTCTACTTCCTGTTCGTTTTGTTTACTGTCGAAGCCAATTTGTTTTCCAAGATAGATGTATTTATCTGTATATTTCAGAATTTCATCGTCTACTGATATTTTTATTTAGAAACGAGTTTTAAAGACAAAAAAATAAATAAACAGAATGTCATTCGATACAATATTTTTGAGTATGCAGATTGAGAGTGCTGTATTAATATTTACAGTGACCGCTCGGTTAGAATGCATAGCAATGGATGCCTTTTACCAGTTGTTGTGTTCACTTTTTCATTATTTTTTAGCGTCCCACAACGTTGAATACCGTTTTTGCTATAGCTAAATAGATTTTCACAACGAACCTACGTGGTGAAATCAGTTACATTGTTTTTAACTATACATTTTATTTTATTTTTATTTATATAAAACAGTTTACTCTACATATTCTATAGAATTTACCAACATAGCACACAAGTAAACTTAACGGTCTCTTTTTTCATGTTTTTATGATTTTTATTCTTTTTATTCAGAAACTCCACAGCTTATTTATAAATACATACTATAATAATGTGATGCGATAGTATGTAACTTAAGCCAATCACAGAGTTACACAACTTATAAAGATAGCTAGCTTTTTTGACTAATTATAAAATTTTGACTAATTTGACTAATTATTATCAAGGAGACAGATTCACTCATTTAGTACTTCATTATATAGGTAATATTTGAGGTAATATCAAGCACACGGTACTTTATTATATATTCATATTTATGTTTATACGTTTATAAATATATAGATACCACATACAGAAACTGACAAATACATGGACATAATAACACAACGCAGCCACATACATGATATGTTTATTATTATTAATACTGATTTTCATAGTGACAACGTTTTAGTATAATTCACTTGTTTCGGATGAAGTTTGTGAAACACATAAAAATAATGTAGGTAAAGTTCAAATCTCAGGTGCCAAGAAAAAAAAAACGATGAAAAATAAATGTTACTTTTGTTATGGTAAATAGAGTAGATTTGATTTTATTTGTAGTATCTACTTTTATTTTTTTGATTATGGCAAATTATGAATAAATTTTAAATCCAATAAAATCCAACCGAAAAATAAATTACATTGAAAATTTAAAAAAGAGGTAACATTAAGAGACAGTTCGCAAATAATTCCCTTTTATAGACGTCCTTTACTTTTATTCGTCCGCCTTAGAATCCACCTTAAAGTAGTGTTTTTCATTATACTCTGTAAATATGGAAAGAGACAAAAAATACAGTTAAGTTGTATTGTACTCTCGGGAGATTGTACAGGACAGTATGGCGAACATTTAGCGGACTGAACATTTGCTGAATCTCTTTTATTTTAATTAGCAACATCCAAAGGTTTCATAGTTGAAGAGAAAACCAGCGGCAAATTTGTCACAAATATTCTAGATGAGAGACTCATGTCTAACTCGTTAAACTAAAAAGTTTTATCGATAAGAATATTAGAATATGTAAATTATGTTTATCAATCTTTCTTGTTAGTAAGATGAATGATTGTAAAGTGACTTACGTAAATGAAAACCTGGTCCAGGTTTGCCTTTGTTGGTTGGGTGTTGACTACATATAAGTATGGTCGATATCAACAGCTTAGTAAATATAGAAGTTAAGAGCATGCATGAAGATGTGCGGGTCAAAGTTATAACACTCTGAACAGATATATACTACTGTTAATAATTTTTGTTTGTTTTTAGAGGCACCATTAAGAGTCGCTCGTGGTACAGAAATCCTATTTATTAGTTCTTTAATTAAAAACGCTATTACAGCTTCAAAATGCTTGTCCAGTTTGTTTTTGGGGGAATATTTTGTGTTTGCTAAATTAATTCGTTGAAGGCACCCGTGTCGCGCAATGCAATGAGTTTTAATTAAGATTGAGAAAAAAGGACGTTTGTTTTGTAAATGGGACACTTTGAAGACACGCTGAATAATTAAATACCATTAACACTATAACAGGAATATTTGGTAGAGAAAATTGTTAAAGTATGTGAATAAAAATTGTAACAGACATAATTACCTGTTTTAATATCATGACTTTCGGTTATAAGGTATACGTTTTCACTAATAGTCATATAAATAATAAACTTTTTCTGTGTTACAATAACGTGATTGTCTTAGAACTATAAAAATATACAAAAACTCTGGCACCGTATCAAACGTTTGGCATTTGTATTTCCTACAGGATGTAAGTTCATAAGCTACTTAACCAGTACAATATTTATTGTCTCAGGATTGATTATAGTCATATTATAAAGCAATAAATTAACAGGTACGAACTGCGTAACCGTTCTATTATATCACAGTGATTAGAACGAATGATTCTGTTTACTTTGACCTTAGAATAATATGATTCTAAGATCTTAATACTCTATTCAGTACTTAAATAATGACAAAACAAAACTCTTTGGAAGAATCAGTGAAAAAATTTACTCGCAATCTCATTTCGGCTTGCAAAACAAAATCACACATTGAGACACGCTACGATTGAGTTAAAGCTCGATTATTCCGGTTTAAATCGAATCACATTCTGGG